CCAATTTCTGATCCAAGACAAGCTAATCGCTATTTTTCATATAACATATGGTGGGGGTTTAAAACCCCCGCAATCCTGTTTCCTTTTTTCAGATAAAACGCAGAGTGGAGGAAGAAGATGCTTAGTTGGCATAACGTGAATGGACAGTTCAAAATTAGCGCGTTTTTTATTTTATCAGGCCACTAATTTATTTTCTCTTATAAATATTTCGTTCCAATAACACTACAAAGATAACACTTGGCCTGGTTGGTAGCTGTGCTGTCATGTAACCACTGGGACCTGGGTTCGATCCCCAGGTCCCCACGCTTTATTCACATATTTTGTTTTAATATAATTGCATGCAGTATCTCCCCTGAAGACCACCATGTAACTCACCATCCAGCCATGCCACACGCCTCATGATCTTAATCCAAAAGCCCAGATCTGATGGACACCATATACGTTGGTCAACGGTGCCACACGCTTCCAGGAAAAGTCCATGAAGGCCTTGCAAAGATGGGCCTAAAATGCTAACAATAACCTCCAATTGGGGACAGACCCCCCAAGGTTTGCTATTCCTTTTTTATTTTATTTTATTTATTTGATTTAATTAATTCCCTTTAAATTCTTCAATTAATTTATTTTCATCAAATATAAAATATAAAAACAATAAAAAATCAGAAAAGTCATAAAAATTAAATATATTTTATTTTTATATTTTTTAAGTAAATATCACTAATTAATTAGATTTAAATTTAGGGTTAATTTTAATATCTTTTCTTAATAAATTAAAAACTTGTAGAAATTAGGTTTAATTAGTTTGATTACTTTTATCCTTTTTTTCACCATTATTAATAATTAAATATTATTTATTTTTATAAATCAAATTGCTTTAATTAATTAGGTTAATTTAGGTTTAACTCTAATATTTTTTCTTAATAAATAAAATTTATAGAATTAGGGTTAATTTAATTTTAATTTCAGCTAATCTTCTCATTAAAAATTCACAATCCCAAAAACCTCAAAAAACAATTTCTTTTTATTTTAATTTTATCTCATTAATTTAATCATTTAATTTAATTTCATTAAAAAGGGTCCAACGCCCTCGTTTCCAATTTTAATTCTTATTCGCGCATTTTATTTATTTCCTTCTTTTAAATATTAATGTAATTCTCCCAAAGCCTTGTAAACTCGAACATTTTATTTCTCGCACTTTATTTATCTTCTGTCAAATCGGGTCCTGGATTTTAATTTGGCGATGTGGACCCGCGCCTTTGTAATAGTTTAGAACTTTTATATTCCGCAACTTTTTAACTGTTAAATAAATGCATGCAAGAATGAATGGCCTAAAATAAAAACAAACGCTTAGATCACTTTGACATGAACAAGACAAAAATAAACGAATCTGACACACGAATCACACACCACCCCTAGGGTACGCCTCACTGTTGCCTTGCCTCGAAAGGTGATCGTCGAGTAGAGGATGTCTTAGTAAGTCCTCATGATCCGGGAACCTGGCATGAGGGTAGCTTCTAAGGCGTCTTCCCATTGCTTTGGTGATCACCATGTCCCGACCTCGAATTGACCCGAACACCTCCAACGGTGGTGCTACCTACCTCTCAATGGTGGGATGACACTACTTTAAAGGACATCTACACAGACGAATTCCTTAGGGTGGGTAGACGACTCTAGATACTTGCTCTAATTTCAAAACAAATCAAAAAATACTTTTCACACCGACACACTTTTCAAAAAGCTTTCGAAAGCAATTTTTCAAACACTCTTGAGGACTGATACAAGAGTCGAACTGGAATTTTCAAAAGAAACTTTTTTAAAACCCACATTGAAAAGCAAACAAACCATTTTCGAAAACACAAATGAGCAAGTATCTAAGAGCCCATGGATAACCATGGATAGAAAGGGTGCTAACACCTTCCCTTTCTATAACCTACCTCCCGAACCGAGAGCAATCTCTTTAAGGAATTTTTTTGTGCTTTTGTCCTTTCCATTTGGAGAAAATAAAAGACGGTGGCGACTCTTGCTTCCACGACATTTCGCGAACCAGCGTTAAACAGTCAGTTCCAGATCCACCGATCACACATACTAACACATGATGGTGAGAAATATTAGCCTTTTTCCTTTGTGTGAGATATTGGAATCGAACTCTAGTTGGTCGAAGGTAGCTTCTTAGTTTTAACAGTTCGACCGAGTTTAACATGTCATCGAAGATTGCTCACATACTGTTGTCGAAAAATTACATGTTGTAGTCGAAAGGTGTTCTAGTGTGTAGATGTCGAAGAATGCTAGGATTTTTAGCATCTAATATCCAATTGTTTAAGTTAACTTGTACCCTAAGTTATCTTGTAATTGGTATTTGTGAAAAAACCCATTAGTTTAGTATGTTAGGTTTATTATAAATAACATAGTAGTCCCTCATCATTGCACACTGCAAATCCTAATTTAGGGTGAGAGAGGTTATTTATTATTCTTGAGTACTTGTAATTTGATTTAAAGAGAAATTAAAGAATAGCAGTTATAACCAATTTTTGTATTTTCTTCTTGTTTTTCCATCTTTTCTACCCTTGTGTGTTTCTTGATCATAGAGAAATCGTTTATACTTTATTTCCAAGGCATTGTTTTCACAATAAATTGGTGCGGTGAGCATGGAGAAGATGCCTTCAACAAAGTATGAGATTGAAAAGTTCACCAGAGTGAACGATTTCAGTCTGTGGCACTTGAAGATGAAAGCCCTACTAGTTCAACAGGGATATTTGGAAGCATTGAAGGGAGAAGCAGCCATGAACTTTGCGTTAACGGCAGTTTAGAAGATGATGATAATAGAGAAAGCTCACAACACAATCTTGTTGAGTCTTGGTGATAAGGTTCTTCGACAGGTATTAAAGAAGATGACAATGACAGGGTTATGGGTGAAACTTGAAAGTTTGTACATGACCAAATCACTGGTAAACCGACTCTACCTGAAGCAAGCTTTGTATTCATTCAAGATGATTAAATATAAATTGTTGGATGAACGGTTGGATATGTTCAACAAGCTGATTCTTGATCTTGAAAATATTGATGTGAAGATCGATGATGAAGATCAAGCGTTGTTGTTGTTGTTGTGCGCTTTTCCCAAATCACATGCTCATTTCAAAGAAACTCTCTTGTATGGAAGAGATTCCCTGATCTTTGAAGAAGTTCAATCTACCTTATATTCTAAGGACTTAAATGAACGAAAGGAGCATAAATCTTTGACGGTTGGTGAAGGTTTGTCTGTTAGAGGAAAATTCTTGCGAAAGAATGGTAACTGTAGGGTTAATGGTGTGTTTTTGTGAGTCCCAAAGTCAATTCATCGATAAGTTGATTTTGAAAAAACAAAAAAAAATATATTTGAAAAAAACAAAAAAAATGTAGTTTTGATTAATACAACATTTAATCATCAATATGTTAGTTTTGGAAAAAGAAAAAAAAAATGAAGTTTTAGGTCAATATTTAATATATTTTTAAACTATTTTAATAGATCCATTTTCAATGTCTTAAAATATAAAAAGATGTAGTATTAAAGAGAAATAATTATTAGGCGTTCTAAAAGTTGCATTCATAAAAAATTAAATAAATTATAAATATCATTTTGTCATCCATAATTTAGTCTTATTTTTCCCATATATTTGTTAAGGAAAAATAAAATAATTTAATCTTATTTTTTTCATACTATTTATTTTAGTCTTGTTTTTATTCTTAAATACATAAAATATACCTCTATTTATTTGAATATTGAAACGATTATAGTCCAATATAATTACATTGGTCTAATATGGTTATGTAGTTCACATTGGTAAATAGAAAGGTTATAATCCAATATAATTATGCGATCACGTTGGTAAATAAAAAGATTATTTAAGATAATAAATAAAAAAACAAATTCAAATGGACTAATTATACGTTGATAGTCCAATCTTAACCAATTAACAAGTTACTTGTTGCTCTCTCCGCACACAAAGTTGTATTATTAGCCATGTCTCTAAGCCTCCAATGAAAAAAATCTTTTACTATCAAAATCTTCTATAAATCCAAACCCAAAAAACAAAAACAAATCATCAATATTAGTCACAAATTTCAGTTATAACATCATAAAAAATTGGTTTCATTGACAGAGATCACAAAATAGATCAAAATATGACATATCTCAAACTGCATCGAAATCCTCACTGAATTAAAGACAACTTTTGTTAAATAACTTGCTTCTACTTTATTAGCAGTATCAATCATTGAAATGATGAATCAATCACAAAATATCATTTTGGATATACATTACTAAATTGTGTATTATTCTAATGTCTTGATGCCAACAAAATCTCAAACTATTATTATTTTAAACAACCTCTATCTTCCTTAGTGAGTTTGAGAAAAGAAAAGTTGTGCCACGCTAAAGCTATCATGTATGGACTGCTTGTAATGAGACAGAGTCTTCTCTTCTCCATGAGAGGAATCAAAAACCAACTGAAATCAAACAATATACATACATTATTCAACATCATCACTATTCATAATTAAAAAGGGAGTTAAAAATTTACTCTCAAAGAATAATGAACTTGATGGATTATCTCCTACTCATCTTCGACTTCTGCGAATGAAAAATAAAATGGATTAATTTAAAAGAAAAATGTAAAATAGGGATTAATCTTGATATGATGGATGAATGTTTCGATTAAACAATCTGAATTAATGAATGAGTTTAATAAATGAGTTTAATATCTAATTACAATTAGAGGCATGAAAAACTCTCTAGAAACTTATTTGATTTGGTTAATTAAGTAAATTTGGTGGTACTTCCTTTTTATATATTAAAGTGGAGTGAGAGAAAATAAATAAATAAATAAATAAGTATAATGGGTTTTACTTTCTTTTCAATTTCTTTGTGAAAGCAAACACAATATTACAATTTACAAAGGGTTTAGGGTTTATACACCACAATAGCAAAAACAGAACACCAAGAGGAGGCAGCTTAACACAACATAACAATGAGCGAAAAGAGAAGAATAAGCCTTGTAGCAGGCTCATACGAACGCTTCATCTGGGGTTTCACTCTCAACCCCAACAAACAAACCCTAAACCCTATCTTCTCCTACCCTTCCCATCTCTCCCTAATCAAATCCGTCGCCGTCTCCGGTTCCGTCGTCGCCTCCGGCGGCTCCGACGACACTATCCAACTCTACAATCTCTCCGCCGCTTCCTCCATCGGTTCCCTTACCCACCACTCCTCCACCGTCACCGCTCTCTCGTTCTACTCGCCTCCTCATCTTCCTTTCCCTCGCAATCTCGTTTCTGCAGATGCCGACGGTTCCCTCGCGATCTTCGATGCTGACGGTTTCGTTCATCTCAAGACATTTCCTGTTCATAAAAAGGCTATCAATGATCTGGCTCTTCATCCGTCCGGGAAGCTTGCCCTGACTGTTTCGCGGGATAATTGTTTTGCGATGGTGAACCTTGTTCGTGGTCGGAGGAGCTTTTGTTGTCGGTTGGATAAAGAGGCGTCAATTGTTCGATTTGATGCTTCGGGTGATTTGTTTTTCATGGCTGTTGATAAGGTTGTTTCTGTTCATCAAGCGGAGGATGCTAGGTTGTTGCTTGAATTGCAATGCCCGGATCGTGTTTTATGCGCTGCACCTGCTAGGGTTTGTGTTTTCCACTGACATACTGCAATTAATATCTCTGTTCTCATGCTTTTTTTGTTATTCAAAGAAAAATTATGTTAAGTTATATTGTCTTTGTTTTAATTCATTTGTGAGGTTTCTCTGCGTGATTTATAATCTAGGTGTTAGTACAATAATAAAAGTCATAGTGAAAAGAAGCAAGTTTCAGGAATGGAAAATGAAAATAATATGGTTTTGCTGCTGAATGTTGTGTGATGCTGTTGTGAGGTTTGTGTATAAGTTGGATATGAATGTTAGGAGTAACTAAGGTTTTAAGTCACAGCCGAATCACCATAATTGATAATTCGTAGGAACCTGGTCAAATGTAAACCATGAGACTCAATTTCTTTCGGATGTGAAATATCAAAGACCTTGGTGTCAAGTCAAGATCCATATTGTGGTGTGAAACTATTTAATAAAACCCTATTTTATATAATAGGAAACAAAAAGAAAAGTTATCATGTTTTATTCTTGCACAGGTTATACTCTCTACTGCATACATGTGCTGCAATTATTAAGCAATTAGGGTCTGTTTGGGAGTTGGTATTTCGAGGGGAAGACTTTGGAGGGTTGCATCTATATTTTGATATTTGTTTCATATTTTAAAAAAGTCTAAAAAACAATATGATTTCATATGTCAATGTATTAAATTGTTTCTTAGACTTTTAAAAAATATCAAACACATTTCAAAATATAGACGCAATCCTCCAAAACCCTCCAAAAACCACCTTCCAAACAGACCCTTAGTGAACAAGAAGTGGGTGATGGTTTTCTGGCTTTTATTAGAATCAGGGTTCAGTTAACTAGGCTTTGCTGGTTATTAGTATCAGAACATAATTTAAATATGTAACTTTCACAAATATGAAAAAAAAAGTTTTGCTCTGCTTATCATGCTTGTATAATACTTTATTTGATGAAATTTCATTATTGGGTTGTGTTCTTGTTTTATTTACCATTGCAATATTGCACGACTGTTCATGTGAAGGTTATTGATTGAAATCTCAATCTTTTGTTTCTAAACTATTTCTGGTAAAATATATGATGTTGGATTGTTGGTTATTAGGACTGATATCAGCATGGGTTTTCTACAGGTATACAACTACATATATAACATGGTTTTACGAGTCTTTAATCTGTTTCGTTGATGAAGTAAATTATATGTTGCGCAGATGTTTTTATGCAGTCTTGTATAGTTATCAATGCTGTCAATTGCGGATCGTATAAAATAGTAGTTTGTTCAAATTCCACCATGCTTTAGTGCTTTCGCACCACTATTTGACAGCGTTTTGTACTAAATAGACTTGTTTGGTTAATTAAAATTAGGCCATTGACTTGTAATGTGGAACAATAACAGTTTGTTCAAATTCCACTATGCTAAAGTGCTATAGCTGCTATTGGACAATAGTGATAGTTTTAATGTTTAGTTGTTTACTACTATTTGTTTATTTAATGAATGTTTTGACACCCAAAATTCATTCTATGTTGCAGAATGGACTTCTCTATACAGGTGGCGAAGACCGAAATATTACAGCATGGGACATAAAAAGTGGAAAAGCTGCATATTGCATAGAAGAGGCACATGCTGCGCGTGTAAAAGGTATTGTTGTGCTCAGTGATGAGGCTACAGGGGATGATGAACCATACCTAATAGCATCTGCATCATCTGATGGTACTATACGCGCATGGGATGTTCGAATGGCTGCCACCGAAAAGCCAAATCCACTAGCTGAGTGTAAGACACAGTCAAGACTGACATGTCTTGCTGGATCGAGTCTGAAATGTAAGTTGAAAAGCTTGCATCTTTGAATATAACCTTCACTCATATTGCTTGAACTACTTTTTGCATGGTTAGTTTTTAAGAATCCCAACCTGATCAGTCTATGTTAGTGAGTTGGCTGTTGTATAGAACCTTCAGGAGTGCTTTGGAGCGTTTTAACTGAGAGAAATTAAATATAAACTGGCAAACAAGTCAAAATGCTTTATTTTATAAGAAACAAAGCTTTGCGTATTGGAGTATAGAAACCGGCCCTTTCTGTATACACTAGTTTCTATGCTTTGCGTATTTGTTAGTGGTTCTGTGCTTTATGCATGTTGGTACTTTACTGTGATGTTAATTTTGTTTTAATTTTCCTTTCCACAGCCAAACAACCTAAACCTGCAAAGAATAATGCAAAAGTTGAAGATGAAAATCAAATGGTGACAGATCAATAGTTTTCTACATGGCATGTACATTGCTTTGAGAAAACTATGGCCACGTACGTACTCATAGTTGATTCTATTTATTGGTTGCAGTTGTAGTGCGCAACTGCTCAATGTTGGCTCGAGTCATGTCATAATGTTACTCTCATAAATCTGCACTTCATGATAGCAATTCTATGTGATGGTTTCCTATCTATTCTGTACAAGTCTTTTAGAAAGCTGAAACAAAAAAGTTTCATTTACTACTAATTTTTCATCTTTAGAATACCTTAGTTTTTATTTATGAAATTTATCCATTTAATGTGGAAGTAATGTCATACTATTATTTTTTGGGTTCTTTAAGTTTTGTTATTTGTAACCGAATGATTTCAGGATCGTATACAAAATTATGTGCATCTTAATATTTTCCTCCCCCCATTGATTAATCAAATGATTGAAAGTATTTTTAGAGAGTAAGGGACGCAGTAACTGATATTGGGTTTATTTATTGGGTTTATTTATTCAACTCGAATTGATTGTGGTTGGATAGTAGTGCTTAGTTTGCAGTGAAATAATGGAATTAGACATTAGTAGTGGTGGTGCAGTTATTTCTCGCTAAAGCCTTCAAAATCAAAGGATTTCATCAAAATTATTAAATCACCGATAAGAATTCACTTTTTTGATGTAAATATCAGATATTTTTCCAATTCTTGTTTGAATTTTTTTGGTTTAATAATGTAATGTATTAATTTACATTTTATATGCACCTTAAGTTTTTTTTACTCAACACGTTAAAATTATATATTGTGTTTTGTGAATTATTTTTAGCAATAATCATGTTTCGAAAAAAAAACACAAATAACCATGTTTTGAAGAAAATGATATAAATAACAATGTTTCGGAATATACATCAATGGAGGCGTTATCTCACTTGACGCATGCATTCATCTTTTTGCCTTAGACACTATTTCATTTGGCGCATGCATTTTCTTTTAGCCATGTGAGATGACGCATGTACTATAATATGAAGAGGAGGCGCCATCTGAGATGACTATTACGTGCAATTGTGTTTTTTTGTATCACCAAAGATGGGTACGTTATTTTCTTGGCCACTAAACCTCCGATGAAAATAAAATTTTGGGCGTCTGAAGAGAGAGTTGGTGTGATGGCTATGTCTCCGATGAAATTATTTTGACGGTTGTAATTTTTTAGATGTGAAAAAAATGTAGATAATTTGCATACAATTTTTATGTTGTCGAGCTTGTAGCATGAGTGGCATGATTTTTTCGATTGTGTCCGACTTGACGACATAAATCCCACTTTCTTTCTAGCTTGTCAATGAAGTCCATTTCAATTGTGATACACTTGCTTTTGGAACGACCCTTTTTATTCTTCGCATTTGATTGTTATGCCATACTATCTCCCCTTCGTATGCAGGCCAATAATCAGGTTTCGCTACTATTGAAAAGTTATTGTTGTATACACTGAGCAAGGTTTCGGACTTGTAAATGGAAGATAAAAGTAGTAATGCATCTTGATGAGTATACGTACATGTCACAATGACATGAGAGCAAGGCATACGAAAGATTTGAAATTTTCCACAATTGCATCAAAAAGATGGTAGTATAATCCTATACTCTTGTCTTGGCAGTCCCTCGTTGTGGTCGATTGTCTCTTTGACAATGAAGTTGTGGCTATATCGGTCGAACCTTATAACAAGATGAGTGTTGGTTTTGGCACATTCTGCCTTAACACATTTCATGCAACTTTCACTCCATAGTTGTCTTGATTATAAGACCACATTCTACATTTCACCTCTTTTTGCAATCAACAAATCCATCCTAAAATATGTTGATTTCACCAAAATAGTTACTGGGAGGTTTCATATGCCTTTGAATACACCGTTCATTGATTCGATAAGATTTGTTGTCATGTGGCCCCATCGTTGTCCATTGTTGTGTGACCTTGTTCATTTCTCCATTGGAGTGTTCTCAATCCACCTACCTGCATCCGGATTTGACAATCTGATCTCGTTGTGATAGTATTTGAACGAAGGTTATGTTAATGTATACCTCACGTTCATAACTGTTTTACTAAGAGCCTTATCTTTGATCTCTCTCGTGAAATTTTATACGATATGTCTAATACAGTAGTAATGCATAGAAGGAGGGTCATGTCAACTATTTGTAGAATTATTGTATGCGCTCTCAATAGATGTATGTCTGTCGGAGATCAAACAGAGACCAGGTTGTGGAGCCACATATGTTTGGAGATATTGAGAAAGAAACTCCAAGCACCACTAGTTTCTCCCTCGACTAGAGCAAAGGCAATTGGGAAAATGTTGTTGTTGCCATCTTGTGTAACTGCCATCGGTAGCGGGCCTTTGTATTTCCCGTACAACCATGCTCCATCTATTTGAATAATAGGTTTGTAGGACGCAAACCCTGTGATGCAAGGTTGAAAATCCCAGAACAGTCGACTGAGTATTCCATTTCCGTTGACAGAAGTACCATCTGAGGCATACGCCGACAATATTTTCATAATATAAACAGTTACAGGAGAATACGTTTGAAGTGCATGCAGGTAGTTTGATAGTTCTTTGTATGACTCCTCCTAGTTTTCATATACCTTTTCAATCGCCTTGGTCTTTTCTAACTACGCCTTTCTGTATGACGGAGTATAATTATATACTATAGTGATGTGAGAGATTATGGTTTTCACCTTCAATGACGTATCATTGTTGACGAGAGGTAGAATTTCTTGACATATTAGATCATAAGTTAGTTTATGATGATCTTGTGATTGAGTAGAATTAACGCACATGTGGGTGGACATAAAATCTATCACACAATAATCACTTCTCAATCTGTATGATGTAGTGAGCCTGAAAATACAATCTGGGTAAACACACTTGAGTTTGTACCTTTCTGGATTTACCTGATCTACCTTAAAATCGACAGAGTTTAACATATTGTGATACGGTGGGAGAACTGACTTGGGATTTTGCGTTTGTATTCGCAAATGTTTCGGTTTAGCAAGAGTCGCCACCGACTTTTTATTTTATCCAAAGGAAAGGTCAAAAAGCACAGGAAAGACCTTTGAGATGTTTTCTTGGGTTCGGGGAGTAGATTATGAAAAGGGAAGGTGCAAGCACCCTTTTCATCCATGGTTATCCATGAGCTCTTAGTTACTTATTTAGATCACTTACTTTTACTTTTCAATTGTTTGAAATGGTGCTTTGTGTGTGGTTTTGAAAGATGTTTTGAAAAGAAACCATCGTTGTGGAAACCTTTGTAATGATTCTTGTTTGAATGTATACAAAAGTGTATTTGTATTTTGAAAAGATGTTCCAATGTTTGAAAGTTTGCTTTGGGAAATATTTTGAAATTGTGTTGTGAAGCGTGTTTGAAAATAGCAAGGATGTTTTGCAAGTTTTGATCAAGTAACTAAGAGTTATCTACCCTATTTTACTCAAAGATATTTCCTATATGTTTTTAACCCTTTTGACAGTGTTGCTTTACCATTGCATTTGGTAAACAAACTTGTATTAGGATGTTAAACGGGACAAGCGCGGGTCATCGTGTAGACCATGATAGCAATTGTGTTAAGTATTTTTAGCGAATTTTTGAGGGACTAGATCATTTTTGTATAGGCAACCAAAATAGCATCACCGAGGCACTATGATCTTTTGTTTTGTTTTTGTTTTGCCAAAATACTCAACATGCATAACATGGCCCATTTTTAAGGCAATTAGTGGATGAAACCCTAGGGGTGCAAGTGTGCATTGTGTTGTCCTTTTCATGCATTTTTGTCTCTGTATTAGGTCAAGCTATTTGTTAATTTTGGATTTTTGCATACAAACCCTAATCTCTAATCATGGCATAATTGAAAGCGTAAACGCGTAAAATAAATCTACCACTATTACAACATTTGATTGTGGGGAGGGGAATACAATTTTTGAATGGGGATTATTTGACAAGAAATTAAAACCCTAGTTTTACTATTACATCCAAATTGAATCAAATGGCATAAATAACAAATGAATAATATTTAAACAAATTAAATAAATATGTAAAATAATATGAATATGCAAAAAAAGTTTTATTTATTTTTATGTATGTAAAAATATTTAATGTAAAAAGAAAGAAATAATAAAAAAAGATTATTATTTTTTATTAAGGGTAAACCCTAATTTTCTTTTAAGAATACAAATATTATTAAATATATAATTTATATACAATAAAATAAAATAGTTTATATAAAAAATAAAATATATTTAGAAAAAGTTATTATTTAAGTATAAATAATAATGAAAATAAAAGTATAGTATTTTTATGTTTTTATTCTCAAGTATTTATTAAATAAAATAAAAGTATGTATGTATATATTAATTATATTAAATATGTATAATAAAATAAAATATATACAAAATAAAAATATATTTAAAACAATATATTTTGTTGAGTGTAAATAAAATAAAGAATAAAATTAAAAGTATAATGGTTATTATATATTTATTTTCAAGTTTTCAATAAATAAAGTATATACTAATTAAATTATTTTTTATGTCTAAAAAAAACAATAAAATAATAAAAATAAATGTGAGAAATTATGAAAATATTTTTGGATATTTTTATGTTTGGAAAATATAAAATAAAAATCAGAAATGATAAATAAATACAAAAATATAAAATATAAAGAAATTGGGCCATGGCGGTGCATTCAGTAAAGGGGGGGGGGGGTGTCAATAGTGAGCCAGGACCAAGCCCAGCCCACCACACTTCATCTTCAACCTTCGTTCTCAAAAACGCGCGCGCCCTGTACACAAAGCCAAATCCTGCATATGTGCTCTAATGCAAAAACACATAACATCAAAGTTGTAGAGCTTTCCAAGACGAATTCAACCATATAAAAAACTTGTCCTAACTCTCAAAGACCAGAGAGAATTTCTCCGGCCCTAAATCTTAACCTATTTTTTTCAGGATGTTCATGGACCAAATTCTCTTAGCATGCTTAATTAAAATGAAAACTGA